TATTGAGCAGAAGAACGTGGGTTCAATCCCAAGCTCCTTCGCGTTATATGATTGTTAGGACATCAATTCAGCTTATCGTTTTCCAAAACTAACCCTGCTGCAAACCCAACCCTATTACCCAATATCCCAGTGATTCCTCGTGGAAGTGCAGAGGTGTTCTCGGCTTCCATCAAAGCGAGTGTCACGTCAACACATTCTTACCCCTTCCTTTCTTGACCTGTGTTCGGCCGCAGCGCCTGGTATTGCCTAGTTTTAGATCACCAGTATTTACACATTGAGGATGATTGCTAGTCCCAAGCATCGTCTATTGGTTCTCTGTGTAATTACAGCTGGTCTGGCAATAACAGAGTAGCAACCGTGGGTGGTCAATCATGCTCGACGTTTTGTCATTCGATCGTTGGTCTTTCGACCTTTTGTCATACAATTATTTGATTGAACTGAATTCATTTATATTCATTTAACCTTTGTAAGTGACGGATTTTTAGATATCATTGTACCTTGCCACACCAAGCTTGTTTGCTTTATATTCTTATAACATACTGGTAGCCTTATGTACAGGTAGCTGCATAAAACGGTCCCCTTGGTTTGAACTGTCATAAATGTGTAACAATCCCGAACCCGTGTCTGATTCTCAATGTAAGTGTTAAGACATTCTCCTGGGAAGTAATCAGCGTGATAAAAGTTTTGTGATATTGTGATATTACAGATAGGGGAAATGTCTCTAATGTTGGCCTGTGGATCTAAGATTGGGCCCATCGCTAAAAATCTGCTATTTATCAATTTTATCTAGATGCGTCATTGGGACGGTACCAATGGATATTTTTGGACGCTATTGAAAATTGCTGAATTTATGTATGGGCCCAAATTAGGGACATTTAGGCCGACATTACATCCATTTTCCCTATATGGACTGGGAATCGAAGCGTCTCGCAGTTATCAAGCTGCTGGAGACACACAAGTCGGTCGGTGAGAGCTGCTTAGTGTGCATCGAAAGTTCGTTTGGCGATGCAAAAAACGATTGGAGGTTGGAAGTGAAGCTTCAAGAAGTCCTGGGTCAGGGAGACCCCGTTCTGTTCGGACACGGGCGTTTATAAAGGTGGTGGGCAACAAAATTCGTCGGAATCCGGTAAGGTCTATGAACCAAATGGCCAAGGATTATCAGGTGTCGCGTATGACGATGCAAACCGTGGTATAAAAGGATTTTCTAAACTACAACAATGTCAACCTCTCTCAGAAGCAGCAAACACGGAAACAAATCAGATTCCATTTTCATGAATAAAAAATCATGAAATGAAAAAACTTGCCATCCCATGAAATCGTAACAATGATTCATGATTTTGTCTTGGAAATTCATGATTTCATAATGCAGTTAAATCAAGACCGCTACAAGCGTTACACGTACTTTGCTAACCGTGTTCATAAACCGCACTACATAGGTATCTCTTATACGCATTTTGTCTTCCATCTTATTCAAGTACTGATAGTCTAGTGGTCAAAGTATGGGTTTAATGATATCAAGGTTCTTGGTTCTAATCCAGTCTGGTGCTTTATTTTATTCTTTTTAGATTTTTTGGTTAAAAGTTAAACCCATGAATTTAGCTCATGATTTCAACTATGATGATTCATGATTTTGGGAATGGTTGCTGCGTTACGCAAAAGTTGCTCATGATATCATGAATATTATTCATGGTGTATTTTCATAACATGAAAATACGCTGCGTTCATGAAATCATGAGTCATTTTTCTTATTTCGGAGATCGCATTTTTTCCCGTGAAGAAGAAGCGTGGCTCGTGGATAATCCTGACGTCGTGGTGATTTATTCGGATGAGAAATTATTTGCCGTGTGTGTGAGTGTATTCCCTCTAACCCCCACTGGCCGGCAGTGTTATTATGGAAGAACTCTCTCTACAATGTCGCATTTATGGTCATTGTAGACAGCTTTAGTCCGGGAGTTAGAAAGTGATAGCTCTATTGCAGATCCAGCAACCCATTTCAAAATGTCTGGAGAGTCACGCCTATTCCGAGCTTACTTTCACTTACAATAAGCCCCGCATGTATGCATCACCGTTATCAAATGGATATTGGTATTACATACACGCTTCCAGGTTCGAAAATATTCTTTTCAAACCTGGCACGTATTTAGTTTATGTTTTTTTTAATTGTAAAATGTTTTTTTGGAATGGTCTCATCATGTTAATTTGATCATCCAATACATGGATTTTAATTTTCTTTAAGCTTTGCATCTCATTCCGTGATGTACCTTTGTCGTAATACATCCTTTAACGAACACAAATTTTCTTGCATTGTCATAGTCATCTGGGAGAAGGTTCGCGTGTAGTGCTTTCCCCAGGAACAGTTCGCGGCCACCAACTGCCACCCATCCAGTCTTGGGCGTATCCAGCGAGGCATCTTTCATATTGCTCGCAATCTCCGACACCGGCGAGAGACCAGCAGCCGAGCACTTTTGCAAGCGGAAAACTTGCTGATTCACGGCAACGTCGGCCACCGAATCACCACCAAAACTCGCGACGGACACATTATCAACACGTTCCCGGGCTAATTCACCAACTGGACCGATCTCTCAATAGAACTACACGCCGAAAAAGTAGCATTCGGACTCGGAGAACCGGGCTTCCGGGAGGCAATGAAAATCGACACCGAACAATGGAACTGAATCTGCGTTGTATATTTTGGAGGTTAGATTCAAGTTCAACCGAGCCTCTCAAGGCAAACAAAGGCAAAACACGATATATCACTAAATGATAACTTTATGGACACTTGCAACTAAATTTCAGCACACAAATTAACAAATTTTAAGCCAAAATATGTTTAATTCGCTTACGAAAAATACGCAGCAAAAGAAAAACACGTCAGCTTTCAAGCGCGGCCTACTGCGATCGAGAAACTATTTGAAGTCGGCAGAAAATTTAACCGTCAAAATGACAGAGTGCTATGGAAGCATCGGAGTTCGGCTGATCCCAACAACAAATTCGTCTACAGAGCGCAAAAACCAGATTCGGTGATGATTTGGCCAGCAGTTGCATCGAATGGGAAGAAATCTCCTGTTTTTCGTATTCCGGATGGGGTAGAAATAAACCAGGTGGTATATCTGGACTTTTTACAACAGAAGGTGTTGCCGTGGGTCCAGTCGGAGTTCACTGGCACAGAGATTTTCTTCACCCAAGATTCTGCACCTGCCCACGCAGCCAAACGCGTTCAAGCGTGGTGACAATAGAGCTTCGAACATTTTTTGGTCGAAGGAAATGTTGCCTCCTTCTTCTCCGGACATTAGAAAGAGCGACTAATGCTAAGCCTAGAAGCAATAAGGACGCTCTTATGGTAGCTATACAAAGAGCCTACGACGATGTTTCTGAAGAAATCGTGCGAGCCAGCTGCTCCAGTGTTGCTGATCGTTTGACGAAGATTATTCAAGCAAAAGGCTCCCATTTTGAATAAGCTGATGCTGAATAAATCTACACTGACTCTCGAATTTTAATGGGGACCATTTTATTCAGTAAACTGGCAATGACGACTGATTTTTGCACTCTGAATTTGCAATTACTTCAGCGTCGACAAAAAACAGGGTTTGAAATTTTCGAAAATTCATCAAAATTACCGGAATTTTATTCGACAGTAGACAGTAGACAGTAGTTGAGGAACAAAAATTAGAGGCATATGAGTAAATGAATGAACCAAATCAAATGATTTTCCATGCCTAAGCAGAACGGGCAAAAGTATATACCTTTGTCATTTTTTTTCAAATGGTGAAAAAAAAGAACCTGTTAGGGTAGGTGTTCCAGTAACACTGGTTTACCTATAGTTGCGGTATGGAGGTTGTGCCGGAATAGTGAGGAGGACCCGGATAAGATAATTTTTCATCGGTAGCTGTCTTAAAATAAAGCGTATTTGCATATTTCAATCTTAAAATTAGCCCAAAATTTACGGAAAATCATTAATTTTCCTTAAGATTTTCACTCCTTTGCACCTATAGTTGCGGTAGTGTTCCTATAATAGTGGAACCCATAAGAAACCAACGCATTCCACTATTATAGGAACCAAAGTTAGCAACTACCACAACTACTGGAACAGTGTTTCTATTAATGGAGGATGAGTTTTCTAAAATTGTATGCAATTTTATTACAGTGTAATATTTTTCTATCAAAATAGAGCTATAAATTGATGTATAACAATTGTGTGTACATCGTATATTTATTGTTTAATTAATAAATTGGCTTAGTACCTCCACTACTGGCTCACCCACCCTATTACTTTTTAGTACTGTACGGATTTTTGTAAAAAACAGCAGCATATAAAAGATTCGTTCACATCAAATGAGGAAATTTTTTATCTAATTTGATCTAATGTACTTCAAGATATTTCAGTTTTAGAAAGGATACACAAAAAGAACAAATTGATCATGAAACGACATACTTTTTTTTTTCTTTGATTTGTTTTCCGTCGATTTTGTTTTCCGTGCTGAGCACCAATGCTACCGACGCCAGGAAGGCAGCTCCCACACACCTGGACCCTACCTATCGACCCATCATGACCCACCTCATGAACCGGGGAAAAACGGCTTTACTTCCCTTCCGAAGGAAGGCGTGATCAGAGATGTTATGCGTCAGAACATCACAGCGGCGCCGACTGGGATTGAACCCAGGCCTGCTGGGGTGAGAGGTAATCACGCTTACCACTACACCACCGACGCCGCTTTGACATACTTTTGTCCGGTATTATATGCGATTTTTTTTTTAATTCGAATTCTAGTCAACTTTTTCAGGTGGATCATATCTTATAGAGTTCAAACGTTAAATAAAAATTGACACTGAAAGCGCGAAAAAATGCTGGTTGAGAGCTACACACATCTGGGGGAGAATGGCCTCAAGGCACTCCAAGAACTACGCGAATGCTGAATAGGTAGCGATCACCCCAGAAAAAAAAACACATTTCTACAAGACTTTGGATCGAATTCATATTTAAGCATTTCCACCAAACTCACCTTCATCGCTCCCTGCATCGGCATCTGCATCCGTTTCGCCTTCCTCCCAATCGTCCTCGGAAACAGTGCCGTCGCTTTTCACTTTCGTTTTCCCTTTCCCCACATTCTTCTCAGCACCATTTCGTGACCCATTGGCCGCCGAACCACCATCTTTCCTTTTGTCACCACCTTTCCCGCCCTTCGAGCCTGCCGTCCTTCGTCCCTTGTTCCCAACTCTGTCCTCATCTGGACCACTGCTTTCGCTGTCAGCATCACTGGCATTGACGGCATTTTTCCGTTTGAATATTTTAAACCATCCACAAAGGCTCATACTTTACCGATGGTACCACCTCCCGAACACAAAAAAAAACACACACACACACACGTCTTCGTCTGGATAAGGCAGCGAGAGAGTTTCGTTTCACCTGTAGGAACCTACCCTACGCTTCTATTGCCAACAAGCTATTATCGATTTTGCACTGCTGTTTCTGGTGTAAACGATGCTGATAACGATGAAGGTGAGGACGGCCAGCTGGAGTTCGAAATTTCCGGGTTTTTGGATGGCATTCCTTCGGTGGGCGGTAGATTGTTTGTTTTTATGATTCATTGTTCATTGCGCTTCTACAACAACTAGAAGCTAGGAACGCAAATCACTAGTAGTTGTATGGTCACGTATGAAGCATGACATTACCTTTTTTTGGGAAATTTTTGATTGGAATTCTGGAATTTATCTTTGGGGATAAAACATGGCAGATTGTATCACTTACAAAGGTATCTTAAATCAGCAATTTTGGGCAATTCTGGGAGGAATCTTAAAATAAATAATTACTTCATAACGTCCACTTTCCTCGAACGGTTCCAGTCCAGTAGAATCACCGCAAATTAAATACTGAAATATCTCGCACCATTGAGCAAGGGGATGAAAACACGCGGCTCGATGAAACAAACAGATAACATTGCGATGCAAGACGAATGGGGACTTCCCCATAGCGAACGGCGCAAATGGAAGTAGCTAGCAATTTGCTCTGGATGGCGAATGCGGATATGGCATGTCCAACTCCTGTGAGCCATAAATTTGCCACGAGCTGTAATAAAACACTGTACTACTGGACGGTGTGAAGTTGTTGGAACGCCAGGAAAAAGTAAGTTTTTATGTTGAGCACGAAAAAATCCGGACATATTAAAAACGGCATTGTTTAAAAAATATTTTTTTCTCAAAATTTCACTGAATCAAGCTAAGAGTGTATAGAATCACAGTAGGCATTAGTTGTCAGGATAAGTTCATTTGTTTACAGCATGGCTTCACCGGAGCAAGCACGTCGCGATTCGATCCTTCACGCTTGAAACGAAAACCTCGGTCTATCCGCCCCTGGCCAGTAATTTTATATCTCGGTTGACCGGAAGAGTGCCCCGGAAGAATGTCAAATAAAAAATAAGTCGAAATTCCTCAAAAAGTTCCTTGTCTTTCAGTTTCGTTACTTCTGGGACCATGAACCAGCAAATTTACCAGGAGCAGTGCCTACGGAAGAAACTACTGCCTACAGTGGTACAGCGAAAATGGCATCACAGCGGTTCCCAAGGAGATGAATCTCGCCAATACTCCGAAACTAAGGCCACATGAGGAATACTGGTCAATTGTGAAGCACATACTAGAGAAAAAGGGTGGAACTGCAATTGACCAAATCTTTCAGGTCAGGTTCCATCCTTTTTCTTCAGTATGTGCTTCACAATTGACCAGTATTCCTCAATTGGCCTAAGCGCCAAGCGGAAATGGAATTTGGCAGCCAAACAAGTGGGAACAGGGCTCGTGCAAAAGATGATGGGCCAGAAATACATAATATCACTAATGTATGGTTGTTACATTGAACTATGAAAAATAAAACGCATTTGTAAACCCCAAAAAGAATTCCGAGTCCGGATTTTTTCGTGTTCAACCTTTATGTTCCTGTACTATTTTTTTAGTATCATCCATATAACTTTAGTTTTTCAAATACAACTCAAAAACGGTAAGACGGCAAGACGGCAATTGAAATTGAAAGTGGAAGATGATAATGAATTTCAAACAAAAACAAAACTTTTGTGAAAAGTTTAATTGCTTAGTTTTTCGTGTTTTCTTAATTATCTTTTCATATCTGCTCATGGTTAAATAAAATGAGAAAATGGTTTTTTTTTCAAATTGATTATGAGTGATATGTATTGCATTATGCCGAATGAAATTCATAAAGCTGCCTTTTGAAAAATTATCGTATAGCATTAGAATACACTCAGGTTTCCATGAAAATTCGCATAATCGTTCACTAGGGGCAAGTTTGTGCCCGAATTCGGCCATTTTGACTCATGCCTAATTTTTCATCTAACCAAAAAGTTGTAGGAAGCTAGATTGCCTATTCAGAAAATTACCTTCTTAGGATTTCTTGACCTATGTTCATTTGAAAGCTTATTAAAAATGCTAACTTTTCTGAAATGGACACCATTGGCGTAGCAAATGGGGGTGCCATGGGGGCCAGGCCCCCTCCAGAATTTTTGGTGTATTTTTTATAAGACTCACCGGTATTTTGTTAAGCTTGTCAAGTTCGCTATTACTATTTAACTGCGATTAAAAAAATTGGACTACAATTAAAGATTTTATCAAAGTCCTTCATGTTGACTGCCTTTATTATGTTCTTGACTAGAAGAAACAATTCTGAGAAATTATATTATATCGATATTTAATCGATGGCATAATAAGACGTGTTCAGGCTTTACAAATTGGCCATGAGCCTAGGGATTTTTCTTTAACTTCTGGGAACTTCGCAAAACTTCAAGGACTTTTAAGATGTTCAGGTAGCATCGTAGAAAGTGAGGAAACTTAGTAGAAATTCTTGGAGCTTCATAGATCTTCAGAAAAATTTGTAGAAACATGGATCTTGGAAAAGTTCAGAAAACTGCGTAGAAGTGGAAAATTTATTGATGTTTAAGGAGCTTCGTAGAAGTTAAGGGAAATTATTTTATTTAAGGGAAGCTTTTTATTAATCGGGAACCTCTATATAATTTCAGGGCACTTTTTTGAAGCCTCATGCATTTGGAGTAGTTGTGGAAATTATGTACCAATATAAGGAAATTTGTTCGTGTAACTTTGCGGAAAATAAACGAGAAATGTAGAAGTGCAGCAAAGTTTGTAGAAGTTTTGCGAATTTCGAAGCATTTTGAGGAGCTGCGTAAAACTTCATAAGTTTAACGAATCTTGAATAAGTTCAGGGAATTTTGTAGAAGATCTAAAAATAGTTCAATAAATTTCTAAGAACTGTAGGGATCTTCGCTTCAGTTTAGGGAACTTCGTTGCAGTTTGTCAGAGGTCTTACTTTAAAAAAGCTCCATGAACTTCTTGGGAGTTTTAGGAACTTCGTTAAATTTCAAGAAACTTTCTAGATGTTCAAGAATTTATATAAATGTCTTAGGTGTTTCTCCAAAAGTGTAAAGATGTTCAAAGATCTTCGTAGAATTATGAAAGATGGAAAAAATATAGAATTTGGAATAAACTAAGGGAACTGTACATAGTTGAAGATGCTAATTTCAAATAACAGACTGTAGTGGTAATTTTTATACGATAGATGGAGTAGATGAAAGCATAAAGTTGATAGTTCCGTTAGAGTACGGCAGTGTGAAGATTGCATATAGATATTAGAACAGCGAGCTAGGACAACTTTTAAGGAAGGTACAAATCGGTTTTTTCATCTCTCTTTACCAAACTCCCCCTTTGGAGAGGGATGGTGAGGGGTGTTCCCCCCCGCCACCACTGGGAACTGTAGATGTTGAGGAAATTTTGTAAAACTTAAGGGAGTTGATGATCAGGAAACGTTGCATAAGTTACAGAATATTATTTCAGAGATCCTTCATAGACTGCAAGAAATATTCATAAGATCTCCTTATAGACGAAGATATTAATTAGGTTCTTTGGATATTTTTTCAAAGATTTCAGGTTGATCAAGTTCTGAGGATCTCCAACTGTTTAAAAATTGAAAACTGTAGATTGTTCAGGAAGAATTCAAAAGTTTTTCAGCTAATTAAATCTGATGGAATCTTGATTAATGAATCTAGATTGTTTAGACATGTTTGTACATTCTCTATAGGAAAGCTATATTGTCAAGAATCAGCACTCCAGCAGCTGAAGTCCGTATATAAATTTCAACGAAGAGATGGAAATTTCTACATATATCTACCTAATATGTATACATTTCTTTCTTTTCTATGAAATTTATGCCTGGAATTTAGCTGCAGGATAGTTTGAATGGCCTTACACATAAAAAAGATCGAGTTTTTTGTATGTGTGTGTTTTTTTTAAATAAAATAAATGAAAAACACTGAAAAAGCCCATACCCGCAAAAAGTACGTGTAAATGCTAAATTGGTACCGAATGGGTTTAACAACACTAACTCCATTTAAAAAAAAGTCACAACGCTTTTGTATAAATAAATTAAATTATTATCTAGTCTCAAACAGGGACACAATCATTCAAGATTTGAAAACATTCCTTTCGATAAGAATTAAAGTTAAATCTTGATTTTATACATAACAACGAATGCGAGTTCATCCGATGCATCGAACAAAAAAATGCTTTCTTCTCTTCAAACATCAGAATCATTTCGAACGTCATCATCCGGTATCTTAAAAACCTGACAAAATTAAATTATAACCTGATTTTTCATAATTTTTCTCAAATGTCAAGATTTTTGTAAATTTTTCTTAATTTTTTCTTACTTTCTTATCTCGAAGAATTTTCCTTTAGAAAAATGCTTGTAAGTCTCAGAATCTAGGCATGTTTTCCAAGATCTTGAATTACGAATTTTGAAGTCCAGGAGATGCAAATATTGTCTTAGCCTATGTTAACAGAAGCATTTATTAATCTCTTAAATTTATTTTGATCAAAATTTCAACAAAATTAGGTGAAACATATTATTTATATCTATTAAAATTCTTATTTCATTTGTTTTTAATATTTATGTAATAATATTTTTTATGAAATTACTGTCTAGGAAGGATCTTGCAATTTTATCTCAGTCTTAGAATTATGACAATTGATAAAATTTCAACATTTTTACAGTTTTATTCAAAGAATTTAGACTTACAATCTGTATCAAAGATATGCATTTTTTAAGTTACAAAATCTTGAAAGCATATGGGTTTGGGATCTCAAATATATTTTTATTTTAACAGAATTGTACATGAACTTTATTCTGTAAAATGCAACAGGCCCCCCTAAGGCCCCCTACAGATAAATTTTCTAGCTACGCCAATGCACAGTGGTCCAGAATGCAGATTTAGGTGGAATGATATGTTTTGAGTCTGAAATTGAAACTTTAGACTAAAAGTCTCTTCTACAAGGTTGTTCCTTATAGTAAGGCCCTCATTTCTATGACAATGAATTCTAGGGTGGTTCTTATTATCTTTAAAATCAAAAATCTTACTTTTTTGTTTGAATAAATTAAGGTATACATTGTTCGGCAAAGTTATAGCTGAGCTAATTTCATGCAACTTTGTAGAAAATAACTTTTTTGTATCTCTTAAATTGGCCGATTTAGAGCTATTTTCTTGAATTGAGTTAGGGTGGCTTTTAAAAAACAGTTTTTTTGCTCTAGTTTTCTTATTTCGAATTTCGAA